CTCAGCCAGGTATTTATGGAAGGAGCTGCTGAAGCTCGGGGAAGCTGTTTTTGGAGCCCTGAGTTTGCCCCCAAACTCGTCCTGTAAAAGACTGAAGCCATGGTTTTAGCTGGAGCCATAGTTATAGCCAGAACTGTAGTTTTCGCTGGTATGTAGGAGACTCAGTATTCTTGGACAAACAGAATTAGTGGGAGAATGGAGGTGTGAGACAGGTATTCTACAGTGGAGCTTATCCGCCAGGACGGAATGCTCTTATCTTCAAAGATGGAATGCCCCAGGACTCCCAAATGCCATTAAGATATGCAGAACCAGCCTAGGTCAGCCTTGGGATCTCTTAACAGTGACAAGGAGTTAAGTGAATGGAGCCCATCAAAAGGACACCCCAATGAAGACTATCATGATGAAGTAAAACGACCACCAGAGACCCCTGACAACCACTGAAAGACTGTGTTATGCATGTGGGAATGGGCAGCAACATCTGTTAACGAGTTCTTGGAAATTGCATGAATATGTATATCTAAACTGTATGTAAGCTGTATATCCAGCCTTTTTCGGGGCACACGCTAGGTGGAGCCATCCCAGGTGTGCCCAGTGCTGCAGTAAAGAAAACCTACTTAATAGACATCAAGGCTGTTAAGTTCCAATTTCAGTCTTTTCACAGCATCAAGACTGATGAGGTGCTTTGATATGAGGTTGGCCCTTTCCCATTGTAGAAGTTTGCAGAGCACAGATGTCTTCAGGGGAAACAGATGGTAGTTTTCTGGAAGGAGGGAGGCTGGCCAGGATCTGCTAAAAGATGTGGAGCCAAGTAAAGAGGTGATTCCTTGGAACCCCAGTAGTATCAGAGAAAGCAGACCGGGACCCAGAGCTTTAGACCTGCATAAAATAATACAGTCTGGCTGCTCTGCTGAGCAAACCTGTGGCTCTGGGAGTGTGAGGACCTGGGGAAGTAGAAGGGAGCAGAAGCATGGAGGGAAGGCAGAGGTGGTAGAATCAAGTCTCTAGTGTCTTAAAGTTTTGAGTCTTTTTCACATACGTTAATATTTTTCTTGGAGGCGTTCACCTTTTTCATGTGTGTGTATTTTCACCCCTATTTGCAGAGCCAAAGACTGACATCAGCCTGCCGCGTGTTAAGCTGTCACGGGCAAAAGTTGTCAAGGAAAGAAAAAAGATCCTGAGGGAGAATCACCAGAATGCTGAGATGGAAAGAGCAGCACGGCTCCGGACAGGTCTGTGCCCTTCCACCCCGCTCCCTGCCCTGGCTGCTCTGGGCCTCCAGCTGCCTCCTGCAGCTTCTCACTCTCCTTGCAGAGCTGATTCCCCTCGACGAGGTCAGAGCTGAGTGGGAGAAGACCAGCGGCCCGTTCCACAAGCAGCGTGTGGCAGAGCACTGTGGGATATTCCGTGACTTGTTCAAGGGGGCCACGTTCACCCCCTGGGTTAGCTTGAGGGTGGAGTACAGCCAAGATGACGAGCATCTCGTGCCAGTCTACTATGGGAACATGGTGACTCCGTCAGAGGTGTGTGAGGGGAGTTGGCAACAACCTCGATGCCGCAGGAAGCCTGCGTGCCTCTGTCAGATGCTTCCAACGGGCGTTATTCATTCTGGAGAGTTTCTTTTAGAAGGGTATTTCCTCTGTGTTGAACAAAATAGGACAGAGCTTTGCAACAGGATTGTTTTCTGTTCGCATCCTGGTGTTTATTAACACTCTGGGGGGCTCTCTAGGTGGAGCTGGGTTGCTTGGTGGCGTGGCCATGCCTGGTCTGTGTTGCACCCTGGCCAGGCCCATGGCAGGTTCATGTTCTTTGCCTTGGAAATCATGATCTGGTCTTAATGGAACCCCTTGTTTAAGTGATTTACATTCGCTTTATCTTGCGCTTTTAGGCTTCCAGTTCCCCTGCAGTGTCCTACGAGGCAGATAAAGGCTCTCTTTGGACTTTGTTGCTCACAAATCCAGGTGAGTAGCAAGTTCTTAAAACTGGAGTGGGTTGTTTCACTCTGCTTTTGGTTAGCTCCTGTTTCTTTTGGCTGCACAGCCAGAGATGATGTGTGATACCTGCTAAGTAGGGACATAGTACATCTGTAACCTCTCGAAATCTCTGGCAGCTGAGAGGTGGGACAGTGAAGCAACAGAGCCTGTGTTACAGTGTAGTAGAAGCAATTCCCTGGCTCCTAGCTTTTGTTTATCCCTAAACTCCTCTCTCCCTTGGCAGTCTGCTTGGGAGGGAGGTTAGTTGATGCTGTTCACCCCGAGAAACCCAAGGCACAGAGAAGCAGCTGACCAAGAAGTCCTTTTAATCTTGGAAGTACCTCTGCAGAGCTTTGTTCCTCGTTTTAAGCTCATTCTGATAAGAATCAGTTACTTTTCTGTTAGGAAGGGAGTGCTGGGAGCTGCACCCTCTGTTCAAAGTGGGTTTGGGTGTTCTCACTTTGGGCTTGGTGCAGACACTGGGGTGTCCTTAAGTCACCTTTCTCTGTCATGTGTGTTTGCAGATGGACATTTAAGAGAGACGGACTCGGAGTACCTCCACTGGCTGGTGTGAGTACTGCACAGTAGGGCTGCCTGCTGCTTAGCTCAGGGAAATAGGCAGAGCGGGTGGAAGTGCCTACAGAAAGCTCAGGAATAAGCGTTTGGTAAGACAGATCTGTGGCTCTCTCCTGCCATTGGCTTCTTTAGCCCTGTGTTCTGGGTCCTGCTAAAGATGCTACAGTTCCAGGTGTTGCCACTGTTTGGCATTCAAATCACTGTGTGTGATTTTTCTTCCAGAGAAAGCAGCTTCTCAAACAGGACATAAGTCATGTCAAAATATGGAGTGATTTGCAATCGTGGGTGAGTCTGCTGGGCCTAATGGAGGGATATTATCTGTGTTCAGGACAAACATCCCAGGCAATGACATCAGGTCGGGTAAGGAGATCTGCCATTACCTGCCCCCCTTCCCTGCCAGGGGGACTGGCTACCATCGCTTCGTCTTCCTCCTCTTCAAGCAAGACTGCCTCATAAATTTCAGCGAGGATGTTCGGCCAATGCCATGGTAATTCAGGCTTTCTCTGGGCAGTTTCACACTCGCTTGGCTTGGCTGTTCTTGCTTGTTGTGATCACATGCTCCAGGAGAGCAGTTCCTTTTAATCTGCAGGATTGTTCAGGGCTACTTTGAGTTTATGTGTCACCTGAAAAGCCACAATCCCAGCCCTGCAAGCACCATAGAGTCCTGTTACTTTATAAAGTAGTTTGCCCTGCCTAGGGCAGAAATGTGTTCCACCTCTGTTTTATAGACTCGGAGGTGATGTGGGGAGGTAGTTGCCCACCAGGCTGCTGCAGGAAAAGAGGTTCACCTCAGCTTCCGTGCTTGTGTCTTGGTTTCCAGCTACAGCCTCAAGATGCGAACCTTTAGTACATTCGACTTCTACAGGAGGCACGAGGACGCAATGACCCCGGCAGGGCTGGCGTTCTTCCAGTGTCAGTGGGACAGCTCCGTTACGGGGGTCTTCCATCAGCTTCTCAGTAAGAAACGTAGCATGCAGGGATGCTGAGGGGGCTGTCTGTGGGCTGGGGCACAGCTCTGCAGGTAACACACAGGGTCAGCGAGCAAGCTGTCGCTGTAGGCTCTTGCTTGGTCCTGGCATTTATCTAGGATCTGTCACAGCACAGACGGGCTGTTCATTGAGCTATCTTCCACCAAACTGACAGCAGTGTGAGGAAATGACCTGTAATAATCTATTTTTTACGAGCGTTTAAAAATAACACTGAGAAAGCATTCACCAGGGTGTGCCCTGGTCCCATGTGAGTGTGGGGACCCTTGCGGGTGAAGGGGACGGCCTGAGGTTTGGATCTGAGCCATCTTGCTCACATTCTGCATCACCCCTTTACAGATATGAGAGAGCCCGTGTTTGAATTCGTGCGGCCGCCTGTTTACCACCCTCCACAGTTAAAGTTCCCGCGTCACCAACCTCTGAGGTACCTGGACAGATACCGAGACACCAAGGAGCCCACATATGGCATTTATTAGGGGCTTGGCCTCCCCTCGAAGTGCTGTGGTGTGTGCTGGAATGGCCAACTGGGCAAATGGGACTCTTGACTTACCTGCACCCACACTGCCACGCAGCTGGGAGCCACCCCTGCCTCTGGAGGGAGACAAACCCGCCTCGGCTCCTGGTTTCCTGGTGCTGGCAACACTGGGAAGCGTGTGGCTGAGGGGGCAGCAGAGCATTCCTGGTGCTGACAGCTGTGTGGTTAAGAGGCTGCTTAAACAGGATGTTCGTAGAGGAAAGCAAATCCATGGCCAGGCTGAAACACTGCTACTGGTGCTGTAGCAGAGCTGACCAGTAAGGGTGGCAGGGTAGAGTCCCCCCAGGGATGCCCTGCCTCACTTCTCTGCAAGGATCACCTTCTTTTGCCTGTTTATGGAACAGAGCTGGGCCAGCCTGGATTTCCTCCTCTTACAGCGCTGCAGTTCAGGACTGTGTCAGCTCTCGTTTGTGCGGTCCTCTTACAGAGATGAGTCTGATTAAACACACTCTGAGCGATGCTGGTGGGACTGTCGTTATTGGGAAGAGCTTGGTATTCCAGCCAGCTGACGTGGGGCTGAGGAGCTCAGCGAGGCACAGCGGAGAAGGGCAGCCCTTTCTCTGGCCAGTGTCACTTTCCCCTCTTGGATGTTGTAGGGCTTGAAGAGTGCAGTTAAGCCAGTGGTAAACCTGCACAAAATCAGTGTGTTTGGGGGGCTGAAGCGGTGCTGGGACATAGAAGTTGTTCTGACAGATCCGAAGTCACTTCCTGAGTCCAGGACTGGTCTGGGGGTGACTCCGAGCCTGGCTTTTGTACAGAAGCTGTTCTGACCCCCCAAGCAACCCACTGGTGACTGCCTCAGCTGCAGCACAGACCTCCTCCCCACTGGGTGAGAGCAAAGCTGGGGTGGGGAAGGAGGGCTGCAGAGGCCATCCTGCCAGCGTTCAGCTGCCTGGGAGTGTGAGTAAGCGATAGCACGTCTGCGAGGATAGGGAAGTGAGGTTGGGAGCTTTTTCTCCTGAACTGAACTGTATGAAACCAAGATGAAGGTATGTGGTACACGGGCACCACAACTGCCTCTGGGCAAAAGACTCCACCTGCCACCTGAGCAGGGACCGATTGCCCAGCTGACATCTCTTGGGTTTTGGAGTCCTGATGTGCCTGGGTGTTGCAAGACACTTAGCAGGAAAAGGAGTGGTGGGTGTGCTCGGGGACATGTGCAGACAACAGGAGCTGTAGTTTAAATTGGAAAGACGCAAGGGCGGGACATGGCCCTGTCACTGCTGGCATGTCACGGGGCTTGTTACTGCAGAGGGAGGTGATGTAGCAGCAGCAGTGGGTGCCCTTCTCTGCTGCTTCCCGGGCTGGCAGATGCCAGGAATGCTGTCTGGTGGTCTCTCTGGGTGGGAGTAGTGGCGTGTTCTGCTGGGGGACCCAGCCCTGGCAAGGGTGAGGATGTCAGGAAGTTCCCTCAAAGGGCAAAAAAGGAATGAAATCAAATTACACACCATGCAAATGCATTCACGGAAATACATGTTGCTCTGAATGTTGTCAGCTTCTTGCACGTGTCTCTCTGTGCTGTCACCGCAGCATTTCATCTGCTCTGCTTTGCA